AATGTCCTTAGAACAATATTTAACATCATATTATTTGGATGAGTGTAAGCTACTAGCAGATTTCCGAAACATATGGTTCAAAGTGGTTGGCCTAGAAATCACACGCTACCGAATATTATCGAAATTACAGAATAGCAAAAAAGATGATTCGTCCGAAGCAGATATAGACGAGATCATTGAATTATATGGATAAGTACTCTTAGCGGGATGTGGCAATTTCAGCTAAGATACCTCATATAATATTTATAATAGCATATATTTTTTCGTACAATAATACCGGCTAACTTCAATTTCTATCTCCGACAAGGCGCCTCCAATCATACAGTCCAGCCTCGGAAATGCCCGGAGATGATAAAAAATAGTTCTGGTAAGGAGAATACTCAGTATTACTTTTTTTCCGCGAATTCTACCATTTTCTGGTCATAAACCATATAATCGTAATAAGTACTAGGGTAAGTATAGAATATATTAACATAGGCGACATCAAGGAGCTCGTGACGATAGGAGCAGTTGCTGGTAAAGACACCGCTTCTACACCACCTGCGGAAAATATTTGGGAGGGTGGAGGATTAAGAGCGGAAAGTTGTAATTCTTTTGGGACCTGTACACTCTCATTTTCTTTTAAATTGTTTATAGGCGGGGGTGGACGATCTACTTCATTATTTTTCTTTAACGCTAACTGCTCCCTAAGGGACCTATTTGCCTCTATTAAATTTGATCGTGCTGAAAATAAAGAATCTATCGTCTGATTGTATATGTTTTTTGAGGACTCTATTCCCTTTTCCATACATTCTATTTCGTATTTTTTCGAGGATAAATCATCCCTCACTTGCTCCAATTCAAGCCTAAGAGAATCGATCTCTTTAGGATCAGATGAGTTTATTTGGGCCGGCTCATCTATTAGCCCTCCTACTACATTTGAATCGTGGAGCACCTGATCTAGCTCCAAGTCATCCAACTTACCTTTCAATTCACGTACTTTAGTTTCAAGAGAAAGAATCTGGACCTTGTCAGCAGACGAAGCTTTTTGGGCCAAAGTTCCCTCTCTCTTCAGTGTTTTAATCTTTGATTTGAGCGATTGGATTTCGGCAGAATATTTGGCTTCAAGCTCACGTTGACTCTCAGAATGAGACTTCCGTTCAGAAATAAGTTGGGATCTAACCTTAGTAGTGGACGCAATTAATTGGCTAGCTTTATTTTCAAACTCCTTTTCTCGCTCATTGTACTTATCTACCACCTTTTCGCTGAGATCATTAATCTCAGAGTTAAATTCGGTAACGGATCTTATTTTTTTTTCGAGCTCTTGCTCATATACACCACCAAGTCGTTGACCAACCCCCCTAAAGGAACCATCACCTTTATTATTGATATCTTTCAAGGTATACACATTGGTCATAGCCTTTTTTTTTGGCTTAGTTGCTAGTATATTAAAAATAAAATAATTAAATATAAGCAATACCGATAAAAATAACTATGCGTAGATATCTAAGATCTGATGCAACTCTTCTTTCACCTGAAACATACAGTGATATTATAAATGCTAAAGGTAAAAAGAATATATCACCAGTTTTAGCTAAAAAATACAAAATATCATCACGGAAAGTGTATCAAATATGGCGAGGACAAGAGTATCCTCCTAGTGTTAGCTTGGCTAACCAAAATAATGATTGGGATAAAGAAATTGAAAGCATATATAATTTATATGCTGAACTTCCTAGCGAACGAATGGATGAATTTTTCGGCTAAGCCATTGTAACAATTTTCCAAGTGAAATTTATTTTTTTTTGGAGGACAGATTGCACATAGCACTAATGCTCCCGATACTCCTGATACTTTGCGTATTACTAATACTTCGCATAGATTTAATAATTTACACACATTTTTTACTAATATCATGGATAGAGCTCGTAGTGTGCATAGCACTGATGCTTCTGATACTCTGCATACTACGCATAGTATTAATATTTTGCGTACACATTTTTTATTAATAGTATGAAAATCTGATCTGACAATATGATCAATCCCCCACTCAGAAGTTATATGCGTTCTGATGCTACAAAATTATCTACTGCAGATTACGAAGACATCATGCAATATCGAGATATGAAGTCCAAGCCTCTAGAACAATTAAGGAAGAAATTTCATATATCATCTTCTCGTCTATATCAGATTTGGAGAGGGCAGGAGGTAGGAAGAGTCAAATGGAACTATTCAACAGTCCCGCTTTCCTATTCAAGTACAAATGATATAGATAAACAGAATGATACAGATTTTCAAAATAAATACAATTCTACTATTTTAGCACTGGAAAATGTAATACCTGATGGTGCAGAAAAGCCTAGTAGATCCACCGACCCAGTATCAAAAGAAGGTGTTATTTCTGGAAGTAAGGTAAAAAAGACCGGAGGAAAAAAAACCAAGTCTAAACCCGTCCGCGTCTCTGAGTCGCCTGCTATTCAGACTCAGCTAGCACCAATGAATTCAAAAGGTTTGAATATAAATGATGAAGAGTTAAATGCATTTTATGAGAAGATAGTTGAAAGAAACGTAAAAAATATAGCAAATATGAAGAATATATTAGAAAAATAACTCGCCTATTCTCTGCCTTAAGCGCCTTCGGTAAGAAGTTCATCATAGCGCGCCTGTAATCTTTCACAATACTCATTGATTTCTGCATTATACTTAAGAGTGTTATATAGCATTTTTTCAAGTTCCTTATAACTCACTTTTTTTTTAATACATCATCATCCTCACTTAAATCCTGTGAAATACAGTCCGGGGTCGAGGATTCATCACATTTGGAAGTAGTGGTCGCACAATTCACCTTGAGCTTATTCTTGACCTTATGCATATTAATTGGGATAAAAAATTCCTTACCATTACACTCTAGTCTCAATTCCCGCTTTGATGCAAGTAAATCATAGTTATATTTATCAAGTAAAGTATTGGGTAAAATTAGCATCAGCTTTCCAAGATGGTTTTTGATTACTGCAAAATCAGAATATATGGTACATCTGGGAGTAAAATATACTGGTACATTCCTAGCTGTACTAAGTGACTCTATAGGGACTATAGCAATGCCTTTAAGATCATGCCTTTCACTTGTATCAATTTTTAGTTTTAATCGTTTGGCTATATCATTGGTCATAATTGCAAAATTAACACTGGGATCAACCATAGCACCTGGAATGATCAGATGTTTGATTTTACACTTAGTAGTAACAACATCAGTGATGGAATTTTTTTTCTGAACGAAATCGATTTCCATAGGCTCATTTAGAATTTCGTCCTCCCCATCTGAGTCTGAAGTTTCAGGAGTATTCGAAGTGAAGACATCTCTACCATCAACCAGTATTCTGAAAGCAAAATTCTGCGATTGAAAAAAAGCTATGGTGGTGCCAAACTTTTCATTAAACACCTTTTTAATAATTTTCTCAATAATATTTTCCAAGCGGGATTGGTCATCCTGTGATGGCGACTTTGAATTTTGCTTTTTCTTTTTAGAAATAGAAGCTGAGACCAAAGAAGCTATCTCTATATCTTTTACCTCTTAAGATTTGGCCGTAATGTGACCTTTTGATTTCTTCTTTTGTGGTAAAAGGGGAGGATTAATCGATTCTTTCTTCACTTTTTTTTTGTCTTAGTAATATTAACATTAATATCAGCTTCAGATTCGGATTCAGATGAAGAACTTGAACCAGAATCAGAAGAGTCATCAGACAACATATCAGAATTAGTATCCGAACTCGAACTTGAATCTAAAGTGGCAAGATTTACTTTATCCTTTTTGGACTTACTCTTCTTTTTTCTAGGACACTTACGAGAATTGTGACCAGCTTTATCACATTTAGAGCATTTATGTTGGACTAACTTTTTGACCACATTAACCATTTGAGAATATTTTTTGGAAAGCTTAGTGTAATTGGTATTAGCAACGCCTAATCTCCTTATTAATTCGTCATTAATATAATTATCTAAGGATGTAAGATCTTTTGATGCATCAACTGGCATTCCCAAACGTATTGCACATATATACATCTTTTTTAAGGCATCATTATTTTAGGGTTGTGCCTGAATCGGTTGAACTAACTGTGCTTCAAGAGAGGCTATTTTGGAATTTAACTTATCAATCTCAACTGAAGATTTTGATCCCATTTAAATTAGGAGCACGCTCCAACCACATATCTTTAAGTTGTGTAAAGAATATATCAATACCAGCAGAAGCAACAGCTTGCATTCATGTATAAAGATCACCCAACAAGTGATTCTTAAAAAATCCTACGGTTTGGGCATCACCATCCGCTACACCTAATAATAAAGGTCAGATTCTTTTTTCATAAGTATCTGGTGAATCTGTGAGTAGAAATCTTTCTTGAGTTAATCTCTGAAGTGCTGACTGCCGACTACCTACTGTTTCACGTTAATATTTTGATCTCATCCAAGCACGTAAAGTAGCTGAAGTATTAATATTAACATTTCCGTTATATGGGTCTTGAGCAGGAACTGGTAAATATTTTTCTCCTATCTGAGCTTTATAAATATCACACTTGACAGTATTATCAAAATTCCCAGCATTTGCATTTTCAAGAACAGCTATATGCAGTGTTATCATAGAACATGGACATAGACATAGACAGTCCCATCCCAGACAGTCCCATGAACATGAACATAAAATTTTTATGTCTGAGACATTTGGACAAATATCATGTGATACAATATTATATATCACATACTCAATTATAATTCCCGAAATTCTTTAATAATTTAATTATGTATAATATATATGCAATGCATTTAATAGCAAATTTAATTAAAATT